TTCTTCTCATTGGTCTTTAAAATGACTCTGAAGTGTTTCTTCCTGCTCACTTCACGCTGCAGCAACATGTGGCTGCATGAGCGAGTGCAGCAGTGCCACCATGTGGCAGAAACGCAGCACTGCAGCAGCTTAATGAGGTCTATAACTCTGTAAAGCTTTATTAGATTTCTTTAATTAACTCAAAGGTTTTTATTAACAAAACAATCTTCAGATGATTTGGGTGCTTAACCCAGTGTGGGAATATTTTAATTGTACATCTGTCATTAGGGATGAGACTGAGTGTGAAGTCGATTGTGTGTTTGTGATTTTAATATCCTGCTTGTTCATGATTTTGTGACACTTTCACAGATGACCGTGACTGATGCATGTGTTTTTGTGCATTTCTGTTAAATCTTTCTCGCTCACACACACACACACAGACACACACACACACACACAGACACACATGCCCACCTAAAGAGTTTCCTTCCCAAACTACAAAAAACTACAAACATTCAAACCGAAGCTCGTCTGCATTACTGAAACGAATCTGCATCACAGTCTGAAGCCAAAGTCTTTTAACTTAACGCAGTGGTAACTCGTGGAAGGATTTAAAGGAAACCTCCTTGTTTTGTAGCAAATGAGGCTTTTTTGACTAAGAGCCGGTTTTGATTTTAACTTGCAATATTAACCAGATACAGTTTGTTCAAAACCTGAAATATTGTTTCACGTGAGACCCAGACGCCAGACTGACATGAAGAGGAGTGGTGGTTCTGCCAGTGATGACAGCTGGAAAAGTAAAGCGATGCTGCGGTGGAAATCAAACTGGTTTGTAAGAGAAAAACAAACCAGTTTATGGAAAAGCTCTAAAAGACGTCGATTTCAGACATTTTAAAGGTTTCTGATGCAAAACAACATTGTTATCTTTACCCTTGTAACTGGTGGAAGAAGCAGACCACAGACAGCTTAGACAACAAGCACCTCTGGACAGCTGTTATCTTAGATCTCTCTGTGTGTCCCGTCATGTCCTCTTGTACTTGTGCATCTGTGATTGCTCCTCCAGTGTATCAGACCTTATAAAAACCCACCATTCTCCCGGTAACACTCCTCGCCTGAAGCTATAACTAAGTTCGGAAACTATTAACTCTCCAAGTGAAAATGGCTCAGCTGTAGTCAGAGGTCCCCCCCTCAGAGGAAATTCAGGCCGACCAAAGCAGAAGTCCATGACTGATGGTGAAATCGCCGATTGCACAGTGCAAGTGTTCAGAACGGGACGTCCGGGCACAGATTTCACAAACAGCGGCAGAGCTGGAAGCTGTGTGAACGTGCCCGGAAGAGGATTACAGCCGCTGAAAAAAAATGGGGGAATTTGGGGATTTCTTTCTCAGAATTCTTGGAAAAGATTCCAAAAGACCCCTCACTCTTTTCACTGGCCCTAAACTTCCAGTAACCATGACCCTGAAGGGGGATTAGCAACTTTTAATTGAGCTGTCCACAGATGTTTGTCACAAGAAATAAAAGCAGATACTTCTGGGTTCTGTCTGTGTAAGGTGTGGAT